GTAAACAATTAAGCCATGTTTCTATTTAGGTTTTTTAGGCCAGTTCTGTTATCCTTAGGCTATAGCACCCCTAAGAGATGACAACAACATTTCAAATTCACAGTCCCACTGTTTCCCAAAACAAATCTCTGTCCAACAAAATCTAAAATGAGAAAATGCCTCCTGAAAAACATTACTCACCAAAGGCTCCTTGGTTATTACAGAGATGAGCCATGCTATATCCAAGCTCTTGAACGCAACCAAAGCCACCATTTCAGTATTATCGTATTCACGTGACAGGGAAGGAGCCCCTTCTGGATAAATGAGCCGAATGGTAGTTCTAGAGCCAGCGTCTCTCTCAAATCCAAATACTGGAGCATTGTTCACTCTGTAAGTATGAAGATTAAAAATATTAATATCGATACAAGTAGTTCAGGCAAGTTAATACGCCTCATTGACCCATATGTGTTTGTTAATGAACTAACCTGATGATAATATTGTATTGGTCTATATGAGGTCCAAGATTTTTGCCACGTAAAATACCTCCACTTCCAACCACCACGCATCTCCTGCAGGTCTCTGTGCCAGTAGGTACACCAGTATAAGGCAAAGCTTTCAGGGCTTGTGCCACCATCTCCTCACTACCCTGCAGACCCAGAGGAGGAGGCAGTGCCCAGTCCTGCGTGCCATTCTCCAGGAACACCGGGATCTTCAGCAGCCCAGCAGGAGTAGGCAGCGTCATCACCCTCTCCACACTCCAGCCACTGCGACATGACCGAGACAGCAGAGCCGCTGACTGATTCAGCAGAGCCTGAGGTGTGTACAAACGAGCCTTCAGACGCAGGACCACTACATGAGTGTACAATAATATATCGGTTTGTACTCGTTGTTCCTTATACCTTATACATAGCATGTTATTTATTTGCATATACACTACGAGATTACGATTCAATTAAGAAATCATTTTATTTATGAAGAATAAATTGTATTATGGTTTGCACAAAAATGTTAAGCAGCACAACTGTTTTCAACATTGCTAATAATAAGAAATGTTTGGCCAAATCAGAATATTAGAATGAAGGATCTGATGATTCTAAAGGATCATTTGTTTTTGATCAAGTTTTTGGTTCAGTAATTATTTTTAAAATGTTTTTTTAAGTCTTTTACGCTTTCTTGTTTGATTAAAACGAGTTATTAAAACAGTTATATTGTGAATATTATTACAATTTAAAATAGCTGTTTTCTGTGTGAATGTTTCGAATCATAAGGGGGTTAATTGATTAAAAACTGATAGTGAGACTTTGTTAAATCTATTCCAAATAAATGCTGTTCTTTTGAACTTTCTATTCATCAAATAATACAAATGTGTCATGGTTTCCATGAAAATATTAACCAGCACACTTCACAAACCAAATAACAAATTTTAGAATGAAGTGTTTAATGGAATTCGTGACATGATGACTGAAAATTCAGCATGCCATCAATAGAATTAATTCTATTTTAAAAGTATTTGAATATTGGACAACATTATACTATGTATATTTGATCAAATAAATCCCTTGATGAACATTAAAGAAACCTTTTGATCTTTTAGTGTATATTTATTTATGACTAAAATTTGTGATTTATGTATTTATTGATCTGAAATATTAACCCTAAAATAAACATTTTAATATAAATTATAATAATTATTTTTAATTAATGTAGGCTACATGGGGTACCTTGACAATTAATAATTGTTGGGGAGGTTTGAATAATTATATGTGAACTCCACATGGATTATTTGAATTATCTTAAAGGGATAGTTCACCCAAAAATGAAAATTCTGTCAGTAATTACTCACCTTCATGTTGTTCCAACCCAGTAAGACCTTCGTTCATCTTCGGAATACAAATTAAGATATTTTTTTATTAAATCTGAGAGCTGGATCGCTCCTCCATACTAGTCCATAGGCTACTTGAGGAATTGAAACTTGCCGGCCTCAAAAAGTTATCAAAGACATCGTTAAAATACTCCAAGTGACTTCAGTGGCTCAATCTTAACTTTATCAAGCGACGAAAATACTTTTTGTGCGCAAAAACAAACATAAATAACAACTTTATTTCAACTACTAATTTCCTTCTCTTTGAGCCTCTAGTCAGTTAAAGTAGTGTAATTGCGTAGAGCTACGTCACACGTAGGCTCCCTATTGGCCGACGCTGGTCATGTGTGTGATGCGTGTGACGTACAACAACAGATCATCCGCTGTTAAACTAGTAACCTGACTCGAGGCACAGAGAGAAGGAAATGAATAGTTGAATAAAGTTGTTATTTTAGGGGTTTTTTGCGCACAAAAATTATTCTTGTCACTTGATAAATTTAGGATTGAGCCACTGTAGTCACTTGGACTGTTTTAACGATGTCTTTAATAACTTTTCGAGGCCGGCAAGTTTCAATCCCTCAAGAAGCCTATGGACTAGTATGGAGGAGTGATCCAGCTCTCAGATTTCATCAAAAATCTATTTTCCGAAAAAAAAAAAAAGTTTTCCGAAGATGAACAAAGGTCTTACGGGGTTGAAACAACATGAGGGTGAGTATCCCTTTAAGCCTGCAGCAAAATCACAGTTGAATATGCCTGGTTTCACATATATAGCCAAGATTAGGCCTTAGTTTAATTTGGTCATTTAAGTAGTCTTTATAAATGTGCCTTAGAAAAACGCATTACTGGTGTGCATCTTGAACAATGGCACTGACATATTCTAAGATATGCAAGTTGCTTTCAGTTAAAACTGGTTAAGCATGCATTTTAGTCTGAGACTAGACTTAAGCCTTATCTCTGAAACCAGGGGCAAGTAAAGTCACCGATCCTACAAATTTGGCGGACATCTCATTAGCTTCATATGGCGAAACAGCAAATTACAGTACCAGAGTTTCAGCAGAACTGTCATTAGTCCAGATGGGCTCAGGCGTTGGCAGATAAGCAGGAACCAGAAGTGCAGAGTAACAGCTCAACAACAGAACAATGCTTAAAATGAAGTTGTCCCTCCTGAAATCATAAAACAGTAGACTTATGGTATTTTAAAAGCTCATGCTAGGGTGTGCTTCATTGGTTTTAAAGGAATGCGTCTCTAAATCTCCAGTGAAGCATGTTTCCGTGGTGTCACAGTGCTTATCTCGGTCAAACCCACCGGCTGAGGAACAGTTCCCTGGACTCTGGCCTGTGTTGTTGGGTGGTTGGGCTCTCCGAGCTGCTGGCTTCCGGTAACAAAGGAACGCTGTCTTCGTCATTATCATTAACACTCAAATGTTTCAGAGTCACCATTTTTTTTCCTGTCAGTTCCCAACTACGCCTGTTAGTTATGAAATACTAATTAAAACAGGAGTCATACTTTACTTGCATGTTCAATGTTCCAGAGCCTTCATTCACAACACATTTGTAAATGTTGTTTCTTACCTCTTATTTCAGGTGCTGTCTTCTTCTTTCAGGTGTAGAGATAGAAACATGTCTGTTTTGTATTGAATTTGAGCTGCGCTTCCGTCCCTTTCATCCGCTGCCGTGTTGTGAGTGTGTTTTGTCTCAGTCCGATCCCTCCTCTCAGTTAATCATTAACCAGTCTGAGAGGCTTCGCATTGTGTGTCTCTACTGTTTAAACAGCCACACACTGCCATTTTTGCAAATGTTTGATACCATACATAACATTAGCATTTCAAAAGTCCTTTAGACAGCATGCCATGTACAGCTGTTGCTGAAAGCAAAAACATAATCTCAAAAACTAAACATAAGTACTTTATTGGCTTTTCTTTCTCAGAGATAAAGCATGACTTTTCTGCTCAATCTTAGTTTTAAGTTGTAATGTCAAAGAAATCTGAATGAACTCGATGAAGGTTTGAGGCTTAAACCTTTTAAAAGAGTTGGAAATGGAATCAGTGTTGGTGAAGCATTTTAGTTATTTCTCTTTTTGTATAATTAATCTCTCTAAATTAACATATCGACACGCACTCAAACCAAGTCAGGGTGAGTTATATTTTTTAAATGTTTTTGAAGTCTCCAATGCTCTCTCATTTGATCAAAAATAAATAATATTGTGAATATTATTACAATAACTGTTTTCTATTTTAAAGTTTCATAATGTAACTTATACCTGTGATGGCAAAGCTGAATATTTAACAGTCATTACTTCAGTCTTCAGTGTCACATGATCCTCAGAAATCATTCTAATATGCTGATTTGCTGCTCATGAAACATTTTTCATGAACAAAAAGTTGAGCTGCCTAATATTTTTGTGGAAACTGATGCATTTTTGGGGACTATTTGATTAATAAAAAGTTCAAAGGAACAGCATTTTATTTAAAATAGAAATCTTTTGTAACAATTTAAAAGTGTCTTTTAAGTCCCCATAAAATCAAAATTTAAGTTTACTTGGCTTTTAGTATCGATATGTTAGCATTACTGTTATTTATAAGCTAAGCTCCAAAACAATGAGAAGATAAGCATTTGAAACGTATATTGTCTCTCACTTCCACCTATATGGAGCAATGATTTTGACCCCTTCATTATAAATAGATTTACCTGGAGCTAAAATTGGTTGCATTTACACATTTTCTACATGTTGAATGGCACATAGTGCACTATTTAGGGGATAGGGAACAATTCAGACAGTGTATGCTTTTCATTGGAGCGCATGAAGTCTGGTTTCTGCACAGAATTTTATATTGTAAGTGATATGGAGGAGAAATGGTTAGAAATGAGGAGGAAACTGCAGCTTTACTGAGCCCAACGAGCTGTCTGTAATATAAACTAAACATTATTGGCTATTTTATAAAAGGGGAGGAGCTTTTTGGTGTGTCCTGCCCTGTCTTCCTGTTTCAGTGGAAATAATGCTGCATGTTTCAAGGCACTTCAGTAGGGATTTAATTTCATTTTTTATACATGTAATGCATCCCTCAAGTGTTAATTTATTTCAAAAAGAAAAACTAAAAACGCACTACCCCTCCTATTTTAACGATGTCTTTAATAACTTTTCGAGGCCGGCAAGTTTCAATCCCTCAAGAAGCCTATGGACTGGTATGCAGGAGTGATCCAGCTCTCAGATTTCATCAAAAATATCTTAATTCATGTTCCGAAGATGTACGAAGGTCTTGCGGGGTTGAAACAACATGAAGGTGAGTAATTACTGACAGAAATTTCATTTTTGGGTGAACTAACCCTTTAAGTCAATTCATTGTAACAATGCTGTTGTGATTGTGTTGATTTGCTCTTGTTGTCTGTGGTTTAGCTGAATTGCAGGGCTGTACATTGGGCTTGCAGAGGTGGAAGTCTCTCAGCGTTGAAAGTTCTTCAGGACAGGGGAGCTGATATCAACGTCAGAGACAAAGTAATAATGTTTTACTGGAAGACAAAAATACTGTACAGTATAACAAAATAAGCTGTCGCAAGTATGCATAATATGGTCAAATCTTGAATCCTCCCTCCCATACAGCTGCTTAGCTCACCTTCACATGTGGCCACACGGACCGGTCACAGCGACGTGGTCCAACATCTTCTAGCCAGTGGAATCAATATCAATGCCAAAGATTGGGTAACAGATGAATAATTCATGAGGAAAACAAAAATTATATGGATCATACAAATTAAAAAAAGTCATTTTAAATATTTCTCTTTTAAAGGAAGGAGACACAGCTCTACATGATGTTGTCAGATTAAATCGATATAAAATCGTAAAACTCCTCATGCTGGCTGGAGCCGATATGCAGATCAAGAATGCTGTAAGATCATGCTAGATGAAAATGCAATTTATTGTCTAAACCGCTGGATAAGCACTTAATTTCTTTGTTTCAGGTGGGCCTTACAGCCACTGAACAGGTGAAGCAATGGCAGTTTCACACCAAGGAGACACTGGAGAAACTGGAACAGATGAGGGAGGTCGGTCTGGCCTGACGGACACATGGAGATGCGCTGGATTCATTAGAGTCACTGTGACTCAACAACACCTCTGCCTGAGTAACTATATTTTTTTTTTCTGTGTTAAAGGGATAGTTCACCCAAAAATGAAGATTCTGTCATTATTTTCTCATCCTCATGCTGTTCCAAACCTGTATGAATTTCCTCCTTCTATTGAACACAAAAGAAGATATTTTGAAGAATGTTGGTAACCAAACAGTTGCGGGGCACCATTGACTTCCATGATGGTATTTTTTTTCTACTATGGAAGTCAATGGGGACAAGAAACTGTATTGTATTCATTTATGTAAAGAAAACGAGGCTTATAATTATTTATATTTTAAAAGGCATTGCATTACCTTGATCTGATAATATACAGTAGTAAAAAAAAACTTTCAAATAGATAGATCCCTATTTCGCAATTAAGTGCATCTACAAAAGCTTGCATTTATATATAATTTCATGTATACTGTATATATGCGTGTGTGAGGAGATGCGATTAATCTCGATTTGACAGCACTATATATATATAGATATATAGATATATATATATATATATGTGTGTGTGTGTGTGCATTACTCAGGTGAACATGCAACTTAAGATTTTGTAGTTAAGAAATGGTTGATAATTATTTTGTAAATGCCAGGATGGTTGAACTATATATAAATGTTGTGTGGACAATTTTAATAGTAATCTGAAATGAGATATGGCACATACGTCATCTGTGCTTTATTATGTAATGACACTTCGACAGGCAAAGCCTAAAAGCAAACATTTAATATTTGATTATTATATATTTGTTTATGAATCAACAGTCCAGCTCTTTTTGCTTTGTAGTTAGTTACTCAGTGTGTGTTTTGCTGCTGTATTAGAGATGTAATCCATTGCCTGGCTCATCCAGTTCCCAAACTGACCTCTTAGCCTGGTGTCATGAACGGTTTCCCTCGCTGATAGAAACAACAGTGTGCATGTGAATCATGTTTAAAACGCTCAGTTATTCTATGATTAGAAAGCTTTTAGTCACACACTGCAGTAATTTCAGTTAGCACTTGAATCACTGGATAAGTGCTCTGTGACATTTTGTGTCCTGTAAATACTGTTAACTTAAACTTGAAACAATAATAGGCTACATGTTTAAATATAGAAGGTTATGTATGCTCTTGCGGTTCTTTAAAGTCATACTTTGATTGGTCAGCGCAGCGCCACATGAAGTCGAACACACCTAATGATTTCTGAAGTAATGGCTGCTGAAGTTTCAGCTGTAATAAATTACATTTTAAAATATATCAAAATGGAAATTTACCAATATTACCATTTGTGTTTTGTACTGCATGAACTAAATGCAGCCTTGGTGAACATATTAAGAGACTTCTTTAACTTTTGAACAGTAGTTTATGTAACAGTCGCATATACACGATTGTCCTTAATAAGATTTGAATATACTATGGCAGAATAAGCACGACAAAAAATATGCAGCAGAATGTAGAATAGGTGACTCTTTTCTGACTTTTATTTCATTTTATTTTTCATGTCAGTCTTGATTCTCTGCTCAAATTAATAAATAACAGTGCAAAATTCTTTTTGGTGTCAGTATATTTTAGATGATAGTGACTAAGGCTTCTGTCTGACACTGCGGATGATGGGAACAGTGAACCTTTAGCAGTCAGTTCGTAAAATAAAGTGTAAACACCTAAATCAGTACAACTAAAACCATTATTTCACAATATATAATGTGTTAGTAAATCATATGTTCTCATTTCAAATGAATGAAATGAACAAATAAATAAAACAATTAGAATAAGTAGCTGAAACCTTTCCCTCACCACTGTTCACATCGGTAACAAGAAAGATTTTAATCCAGCAGCAATACTGACGTTTAATGCAATAACTAAGGCAAATGTGCAATAAAGACAATATTGATTTATAACACAAACAGCAACAATAGTAAAGATAAAGACAAACATACTGTAAGTGATACAATCGCAGAAGCAGACTGACAAAGGCAAATCGAGTTCATTTACCACACTGACCACATTTCCGTACCTCCGATGGTGACTTGAGTTTATCCGTGCCTCCATAACAAACGTCCATCATTTTACGATGTTTTAAGCCACAGAGGAAACCAAGGCAGAGCAACAATGTGAGTGAAATAGAGACGTGAGGAATGGAAACACTTTCATCCGTCCCTGAGGGTTTGATGGGTCTCACATTTTGTTTGAGCTCCGTTGAGTGGTGAAGGCAGAGATCGCCCCTGAACGCAGATCCACAATCAGATTTGCTCCTTTTACTAGTGACCGTACAGTCCGTAATGTACTCGGGGGGTGGCCTGAGTTAGGGGGTGCTCTCACTGAGGTCAGTTTGTCATACAGAGAGGCTGCGGGCAGTGGACGCTGAGTTCTTGGCTCGCTGCACCACGGCCTGACACTTTTCACGTTTCAGAAGCTTGTTGTTCTCAAACATTCCCTCGTTCCGCGGAGCACCGTGGGAGCCGTCTGGGAAAGTCAGCAGTCCTATGCGAAGGAAATACGACCACATTTATCCATGCTATATATCTAAAGACACAAAGGCACATCCGAAAGCTGTACAATGACTGTAAACCTACTACTGTATGTCACGATACGATAAATATCACGATACTGAACCCATTGGGGGTGCAACGATACCCTCATGTCATGATTCAATACATATCACGATACGATATTATTGCGATACTCCAAGACACATGACAAAAGGTTAACAAAAAATGTACTGTTGATTAAAATGCTAACTTTGACATTACATTGTGGGTTTAAATGAATTGGCTTGGACTTGGTGCTGGTAACCCAATGCTCAGGACAATGGTGACACCAGACTAAAAATATGATGTAAGTAACGGATATGCTTGTACTCGGTCACTGTCTAGATATATTTAAAATAATGTAGGCCAATTTTTACTGGTAATAATATACAATATTTGGCTTTATTAGGGCCTGCAAATATTTCCCCATTACATTATTATAAACTATTTTTTTTTTTTTTGGGATGAAATATACACAATACAGATTGTCATCACTATCCACGATACATATTATTGTTGCATTTTTGTATTGTGATATATTGTGAAACAATATATTGTACCCCTTAAAACCTGAACGCATCACTGCACTGCGCATGTGTGCAAGAAAATGTTGAATCCGAATGATTCAAGCATTTACTTGCTTAATTTTTTGTTTCCTATTGATTGGATTATTTCAGGTCTACACCACTATCAATCCAATAGGAACTTCATTCGGATAGAGCTCAGCCTTCCTATTGTAAAAGTAGCTATTGTAAAATTAAGGTGGAATATTTACCATGTCCTTCTACACGGCCACTTTTGAATTCCCCTTCAAATTTCATCCCGTCAAACCTGCTGAAGATTCCGACGCCTTGGAATTTTCCCTGGGCAAATTCTCCCTCGTACCTGTGTTAAGAAAACGGTGTCGTTTTCCATGTAACTAGTCTTGCAGTCTCACCGGCAATGTGTTCCTCTCTGTTTAAGTAGGTACGCATCAAAATTAATCTGATCACAAGGTCACTCACCTGGATCCATCGGGAAAGACTAACACCCCTGATCCGTGGAACAGGCCATTCTCAAAGTGACCTTTATAACAGGTACCATCAGCAAACTTCAGCTCGCCCTTACCGTGCCTCCGACCTGAATGGAAAACACATTCCTTCATACCTTAAAACTGAGTTTTCGTCCTATATACTAATTCTATGGACAATTTCAATCATTTTAAGTCAGTCGGTAGCTGACAACAGAATAATGTAAGAGCTGTCAATACTGCTAAGTATAGAATAGAATATTTAGATCTAGATATAGACTCTCATGTTCATATCTCACAGAGATGACCCCCAAACTAATAATCCAAAACAATTCCATAATACATAACCTATAACCTTTACTATTATGTAACTATGAACAAATTATGAAACAGAACAAATGGAACACACAAAAATGTTTGTTCTTTTGACAAATAGAAAATTAATTAATAAATAAAAGTACAGCATTTGAAACACGTGACAACCTGCCTCATTTATGGAAAAAAAAAACAAAACAAAAAAAACATGTCTTCAAAAGTAAATTAAAGTGTAAGAAAATGCTTGCCTTCCTTCCATTCCCCGGTGTATTCTTCTCCACTTGAATAAGTGAAGGAGCCCCTGGTTAATGTCATACCTCCACCAAGCTGCAGACAAAACAAATGAATATCAAGAAGGCAAAATTCACATAATAGAATCAAATGACGACACACAGAGGTAGACCAAACCAATTATGTCATATATTTAAGTATGTAAATAATGAATAGGTCAGGACATGACATACATGCCCACACACAAACCTGCTGCAGTAGCTATTATGCGCTGTATAATGCTCGGTCTAATAAAGTAGAGCCCATGCTAGTTCACTTACAGCACTGTATCATTAATAGTGTAACGCATCATGAAAACCTTAAAACATTTAGGCTACGGACTGAATTAAAGCACCAGCAGCGATGACGTCACCCCGCCTCTTATTCGCAGCCCATGTAAACCTGCGCGCCGTCACCGCCGTGCTCTAATTTCATTAGAAGGAGATTTCTTTTACCTGTAATGTTTCTGTGCAGTCTCAAGAGCATGGAACCCTTCGCTTTGTTCAGCGGATTCGTGGAGAGAGAATCGGGTTCTGGCTCGAGCCGCCGTCGCCGGTATTAACGGTTCCTCTCTCTGAATCTCTCTCCCCTCGAAGATCTCGCGTTGTTTTACTGTGTGTGCTTTTCTCAGCGGTGGATGTGGAATGAGCGCTGATTGGCTGATCAATGGCTGGAAATGTGGTTTGTGGAGTGATGGACTCTTCAGTGTTGTTTACTACTTCTTATATTAGGGTTAGTTATTTTGAACAAACCACGTTTTTTTTACTCGAGGCAGTAATTCGCCACCCAGAATACCCTGGCAACCGCTTAGCAACAAGGTCTACCTGAATTGTAAATGTTGGCTAGTTTAGCCTATATATTAAGTATCAGTATTATGTTTATGTAACAGGGCAATACAAGAAAAAATAGAGCCATAGAGTCTCAATGCCTCTGGAAAAAACGTTTGAGAAACATATTTGACAAATAAACTCAAATATGTCCAAGAGGGGCCAGTAAACCTAGGTCTAAAGTAAGTTTCAACTTCCTGAAAGTCTTATTTATTTGCTATTAAGGGTAATATTTTGAGGTATATCAAAGCCAATAGTCTCTGGGTGTATGTTGTATAAACATGTATTGTTTTCAGGTGTTTACATTTCATAGCTCATGTTTAATTTACCATTCTGTGACCTGTGTTTGATAAGGTGGCACATTTCATTCATTAAATTAGTCAGCAATATGAGCAAGAAATTGACCTGCAAGTACCATTTGTTAACAAGTGACAAGTACACTAAAAGATGAATTACATTTACAGCAGCTTCCCCACACCTTCTTGGTGTTAGTGAGGACTAACACAGTTGTTTAATTATTTGTCTAAGGATCTTGGTTATGATGTATGATTGGTGTATGATTCCTTTACAATATAAATATAAATATTAACATATAGGTTATTTATATTTGTAAAGGAATATTTTGGCTATATTAAGACTAAGAGGCTTGTAAATTATATATTAGATTTTAGACTTAAAACCTACTTTTATTAGGTTGCAGATTTGGATTTATTTAGAGAAGACTACTTTTTGTCATGGTTTAGATATTTTTTGTTTTTGTTTGAAATGGGCATTTGAAGTGTCAGTTTTCTGAACACAGCGAAAGACACTTTGAATAGGATAACATAGGATAACAAATTCAATACAAATGTAACAAATTGAAAAGGACTTTCTTTTTTTATTATTTACCAGACTTAATCAATCTGGGTCTAATCTGATTTTAACTTTTTTTTTTTTTATTTACTTATTTGAGTCTCCTGGGCCTGGCTCAATTTTGCCATATTGTTATACAGCCGTAGTGTCTTGTGTGTGTCTGTTTTGTACTCTTGCCCCAGGTTTCACATACAAGGCTTAAACCTAGACTAAAATGCATGTTTGAGTTGTTTTAACTGAAAGCAACTTCCACTGACATATCTTAGAATGTAAGTGCCATTGTTTTGTCTCAAAATTTACACCAGTAATGTTTTATTCTAAGGCATGTTTATTAAATCTCCTTAAATGTCCTAATTTAATTAAGGTCTAATCTTGGCTTAATCTAAGCCCTGTCTGTAAAGCGAGGCCTTAATGTTTTAGAATGTAACCCCTTCCTTGCTGTCCTTTTTTAAACTGCATTGTGGTTGAATTATTTATGTTATTTCATGTATTTACTAAAACTTGCTTGCTGTTACTGTTACACATTTTGCAATCTTGATGATTTAGAGTTTCATCGTAGGTGATTTATAGATAGTAGATTTCATATTTCCCATTCATGCTGGTCATTTCTGATCGTGAACAACACAAGCTTGACTATTTTTTTAACGCCCATTTAGTTTTTTCGAATCAAGTCCACTGTTTGTTTTGTTTTTTTGATCACATAGCGACTGCCACTTAAGTCATGAGTTTCATACCATTCCAATGAAGGTATTTTATTTATTTATTTATTTATTTTTACAATTTGTCGGTAAAAAATGACTGCACAACTCTAGAGGATAATAAAATTACAATATATTATACATGTGACAACTTACCCAACTAATATATATTTTTTTTAAATCCCCTTGGCCTTGTCCTGAGAACACAACCTTTTGATTGAAACCTACCCGCTTATTGCCCGTTTTTGCATGGCTTTATCGTCTTCACTTTATTTTTTACCTCTTGCATTTATAGTATAATAAAGATATAATCATTGTGACAACTAGCCCCAGTTTCCCCTATAGTGAAGTACTCTCTTTCTCTTTTCTCCTCTCTCAGGGTATTTAAACCTGACCCGTGTCATTGCATCCTGCAGAGATTTGAACGCATATGCCCTGACAGCTGATCTCTTCATAAAACACAGCACCACAGGGAGCCATTTATGACCGACGCCATAAACACCAATAGGTCGGTAATGAGAAATGTCGATAAAAATCTCACCCTGGAGATCTATTACCTTTAATGTTAAAGATGAGTGGTTCTCGCTTCCAAACAACAAGAATCCCATGTCTTAAATACGGTGCAATATATCAAACGTTGTTGTGACAACTATGACCACACACATAGTCTTTGCATGTACCACAATGTGTATATTTTAAAGCAAGATAAATATGGAATAGCTAAAACCGTAAACTAATTGTAAGGTAATTGATTGTCTATAGAAGTTTTCAAACTTCATTTCTTTTACCTAAAGACCGTGAACAAACACTCACAGTGTATAATGGGGTATAATGTGGTCTCTGATGATTGTCCTTCACTGGTAGTAAATCAGCATGGCAATAATGCCCCTGGGAAATGTGCAGTTGAGTCCATATGCCCCAGAGTCACAGGATGGGCCCTGCAAGCATCACTACACATGAGTGCCCATCCAGCACAACATGAAGACTGACCACACTACGAGCACACATCATTGCGATATAGAGTCTGCTCTCCTTGCAAGAAAAATAGCAAAGGTCAACTTGTAAAGCAGGAAGGATGGTGGAACAGAGGTTGTTGACGAGGGTCGTCTCACTGACCGAGCCTAAATTGACCTATAATTCTCTGCAAGCCATAACACATGAGTAAAGTTTGTCGTACGTGATCGGTGCATCCAACATCAAGGTTAGAGAAGTCACGCTATCACACTCCGGTTCTAAATCTCCAGTCCCCAAATGGAGCGAGGCTTTTATTACACAAGCAATTGCATTATCCATTAATCTACCCTCTTTGTGATAAAAAAGATAGGATTATTAAAGGACATATTTTTCGCAGCAAATAAATTTTTTCTTTCATCTGTCGAGGCCAGAGCCGATCAAATGCATTATTTTTACTTAGGTGTCTGCCATTATTTATAGCTTTATTTCTCAACAATTAGGCGTCTAGAAATTAGGATATATTGATCTCATAAATTGGTTTAGGTGTTTTCCTGAGACCCAGAAAAAAAAAGTTTGTGTGTGTCATTACATTGTTTAGAGCATAAGAAAAAAATGTCAAAATTATATTTTATTCATGCTATGTCCTCTGTAGATGACACCAGGACTCAATTTATTATTTTATTTTTTAAATAAAAAGACATGAATAGACAATAGCTAAAAACAATGCAATTTTTTTTTAAACCACAAATCAATTTTTAGGTTTCTGGATTTTATATACCAAACTTTGTATAAAGATGATTCTCAACTATGAAATTTATAACAGAATGATTTGATATACCACTTTGCTTTTATGCAAGTAAAATATTTTACAGTACTTAAACAGTAAAATACATGCCATATGCAGGTTTTCCCATTTTATACAATATATCTATACATTGTATCTAAATGTAAGTACACATTGATGGCCTAAGACACAAAACGAGCGGTTTGTGTGAGAAAACGAACAGTATTTATATCATTTTTACTTGTAACCACAGCCACAAAGCGCCTGCGCCCTCAGATCACTTGGACGTGGCTGTGGTTTCAAGAGGTAAAAACGATATAAATACTGTTCGTTTTCTCACACAAACCGCTCGTTTCGTGTCTTAGGCCATCAATGTGTACTTACATTTATGAGTCATTAAATCATGTTTAATTTGGACTTCTCTGTGCATGCTCTTTGAGGTGGTGACCATATACCTCCATTATATGACTGACAGACAAGAACGGTTTGACCTAAAAATATCAAAATTGAAACCACTGTGGAAACAAAGATGCATACATCTTGGATGCCCTTGAGGTAAGCTAAAACATACCAAAAATTAAAAAAAAGTTCAAAGTGAACTATCCCTTTAAGTCCTGGTGTCCTCTGTACATGAAAGAAATTAATGTCTTGTTTCATGACAGAAAGTCATATTTTGATTTGAAACCCCATAACATTTTCCTGATTTAAGATCTAAATTTAGATTTAAGTGATAATGACAAAATATTATCATATTTCCAATAAGAGTGTTACATTTGGTCACTAAATGAATGTCAGTCATTTTTAAAGTCCAAGGAGAGTCAGTTGTGATTGTGAAACTCTGAAAAGTCCGGAATGTGCTCTTTACAGGACATCCAGACTTAAAATTATGACATAGATGATGTCAGAGAAATTGACTAAAATATAAAGTCCACTACTGAGGATAAAAGTCTATTCCTGGGTTTATTCCTCATTTTTGGTGAACACCTAAATACACATTATACTTTTGCGTGTACATAAAGAAGTGTTAGTGCTAATTAATATTTCTTTTATTATGTCTGATGATGATTCTTAAAGTCATATTTGAGACATTTTATCAGATAAATATCTCATCATAATTAGAGATTCCTTTCAATTATAGGAATTTGTATTTAAAATGTCTACCAAATGTTACAAAATGAATTAGCATACATTACTTTGATTCTTGTAGTCACGCACAGACCAAAATATAAATGTTTGAAACATATGAGCTCAAGGTCAAGAGGAGAACAAATGATCTGCAGTGTTGTTTTAAGGTTGCATTTTACCGTAAACAGGAAACATGCACACGTTCACACCTTTTGCTTGTGGCATAGCCGTAGACCTTCCTGGGTTAAAAAGAACAATTAGAGGAGAAATGAGAGCAGAATCACTGGGGGAAATGGCTGGTGAAGACTTTATTGATTAGTAAGGACTGCCTGATCTAGAGCTCAGTATAGCAATTATGCTGGTGTCAACAGAGAGCAAAGCTATGAAGGACCTTCACCTCAGCCGTCCAGTGTCTAAACACAGCTTATTATCATACATTATCCATGATGGGTATTTAATGACAATTGAAATTAAATGATTATTGAGTACTGGGACTAAAACATGCTAAAGGGAATTATTTTGGATTAAATCTCTATTCATTTATGCTTTGATTTTTGTTGCAACCTCCTTATATTTGAATTCATATCGGACCTTCTGGCTGAAGATGGAATTTGGAACAGATTTTATAAATATTTTCATAAATATTGGAAAGTCTTGGGAAATGATAAGGGCAGCTGTGTAACCTTACAAACATATTGGATTAAGGACATAAGCATTATTTAAAAAGAATAAAACTCAAATGTGACTTGGTCAAGAAGGCAGCAAAATACACAAGTAAACATATTAGGACAAATCAAAATTAAATAATTCGTAAAACGGAAGAGGTAAGATGGGACTCTGAAACGAACAACCCCAGAGGGTTAAATAATTCAAACAAAAACGGAATAGGTAAAATGGGACAAAGATGGGTCATTTATTTTTGAAATTTTCTCAAAACACCAAAAAAGAAAAGAAAAATATTATAAAAAACGAGTAAAAAAAAAATCATGATTTTTTTTTTTTAAATATGAATCCCGCCCTTTGGGTCCATTTGGACCCGAACTCCCAGAGTGTGACTCTGAAATGAACAACCCCAGAGGGTTAAATAATTAAAACTAGGTAAAACAGAATAGGTAAGATGGGACATATTGAATGGCTCCTCCCCCTTTTCAAATAACCAATAGCGTTTAGTGTTCCTCACAGACTGCAAGTCGTACTTGACAGCACCATGGAAGTGATTCAATAGAGGTGTGAATAAATTCTAGCCATTTCATTTGTAACCAACGTATAGTTGGAAAATGGACTAAAACACAAGCATTTGAGCAAACAAACACACATTTCCAACCCATATTGCTCCGTGACGTGTCAACGGTCGCTTTGGTCATGTGGTATTTATAGCATAGGGGGCGGAGCTAGAGAGCATTTGATCATTGGACAGAGGAGATGTGATGAGAAGCGGAAGTCCGCGTGATGTCATAGTAATCCGTGATCCATTTTAGGAAGTGAGAGACTGTAAGTTTTGAATGCTTATTCCTCCTAAATCCAAATTTTGTCATTAATTTGGTACACACCAGCTTACTCATAACCTTAAAGGCCCATTTATACTTCTGCATCGAGGGTACGCAACGCATTCTCACCCCAAGGCGTCACCTTTGACCATGCTTCAATATTTGACGTTTTAGGCGCCCTTTAGCGTCACTTACATGACGCGATCCTATGGCGTCATCTAACTGATGGTAAAGGAAAGGGTCAGTTAGAGGACGCGGTTAGGTTTAGGTATGGGGTGGGGGTAGGGTACACGCGATCCTAGGGCGTCATCTAACTGACGCTAAAGGGCGCCTAAAGCGTCAGATATTGAAGCATGGTCAAATGCTGTTAGGTGTCAGTTAGGTGACGCCTTGGGGGTGAGAATGGGCTGGGGTACGCCGTAATGTACGGCGTAGGCTACGCACGTAGGCGACGCCGTCGTGAGCATTTATACTTCTGCGTTCAGGTCTTGGTTGCTCTGCAGTACTGCTCCGGAACGCTAGTTGGCAGCAGAGGGTTTTAATGTTCCACTGTGTTTAGATTCCTCGTGGCTAGGTTACTACAAGCAATGGCGACTGAAAGAGAGCAGATCATGTTGGAGTTGGAGCTTATTGAGGTGGAAAAACAGTTAATTTTAGTGAAATTACTCAAACTAAAAGGCAGAAATGAGAGAAGACGTCGGAGGATATGGTACGTGCGGAAATGTGTAGGAGGAAATGTGATGCTACGAAGCCGACCAATCACAGATCTTGTGGTCCGCGTCATCGCGACGTGTAGTACATTTTTGTGGAGGTGCGCATCAGGTTACGGCGAAGGGTACGCGGTATGTTACGTGTCTGTGCGTATGCTACGCCGTACCTACTGCGCGCACCCTACGTAGAAGTATAAATTGGCCTGAAGGCTAACATATTCATTCTAAATGCTATAAAACGTACATTTTGATTTCAGGAAGCCTGATCTTAATTTGAAAGAGTTTCACCGCACTCACGGCAAACAAGGTGCCAGACAGATACCACTTGACAACCCAAAAAATAAATAAATTGTCTGCACACTTGAGTCCTTAAAGCAAAATTTAATGGCAAGCTTAATACAACCATCCTCAGGGCATCTGATTTTAACCAAAGTCCTTTTAGGCAAGTCATGCCACTCGGCCGCCATCTTGGCACCGCCTCCAGGCAGCTATTTCAGAATAGCAAGACCAGGCTCTAAATGAATGGGCAGAGAGTCGGAACTGCAGTTTCACTGGTCACCGGGACATGCAAATTGCATTTAGTAACAGCAGTAAATTGTGATAAATCGCTGAAAATTTTTGATGACTTTGCCCCAAAATAAGGTTTAAAACGCCCTTTTCCCACATACTTTTACTACGCATTTGCAAGGGTTCTCATCTCCGCGCATGCATTGGTGGAACCAGACGATAGGCTTAAATGTTTTCTGGCTTGACTGTTAAAAGCAGATGATTGGCTTTCCAGCAGTAGGGAGGGGACATGTGCACAACCGCCATCTTTGGTGTTATGGGTTTTCTCTTTATACAGTAGTTGTATTGAGGATTTAGGAAGTGGCATGTCTCTATATAAATTGTCTCTGTCTTAAAGGGATAGTTCACCCAAAAATGAAAATTCTGTCAGTATTTACTCACCCTCATGTTGTTCCAACCCCGTAAGACCTTCGCTCATCTTCGGAACACAAATTAAGATATTCAATCTAGTCAATTTAAATTTTTGATGAAATCTGAGAGCTGGATCACTCCTGCATACTAGCCCATAGGCTTCTTGAGGGATTGAAACTTGCCGGCCTCGAAAAGTTATTAAAGACATTGTTAAAACATTCCAAGTGACTTCAGTGGCTCAATCTTAAGTTTATCAAATGACGAGAACAATTTTTGTGTGCAAAAAACAACAAAAATAACGACTTTATTTCAACGATTCATTTACTTCTCTCTCTCTGCCTCGAGTCAGGTTACTAGTTTAACAGCGTACGCTTCTGTTGTTGTACGTCACATGACCAGCGTCGGCCAATAGTGAGCCTACGTGTGACGTAGCTCTACGCTATCACACTACGTTAACTGACTAGAGGCCCATAGAGAAGGAAGTAAATAGTTTCAATAAAGTCATTATTTTTGTTTGTTTTTGCGCACAAAAGGTGTTCTCGTCGCTTGATAAAGTTAAGATTGAGCCACTGAAGTCACTTGGACTGTTTTAACGATGTCTTTGATAACTTTTCGAGGCCGGCAAGTTTCGATCCCTCAAGAAGCCTATGGACTAGTATGCAGGAGCAATCTTAATATCTTAAATATCTTAATTTGTGTTCCGAAGATGAACGAAGGTCTTACGGGGTTGGAACAACATGAGGGTGAGTAATTACTGACAGAATTTTCATTTTTGGGTGAACTATCCCTTTAACTATATATTTGAATCTATATGAAGTACTGTATCTATTTAGTTATGTTCGAGGACAGCTGAGTAATAGAAATGAGATACAAAAAAAACGGTACATTTATAATGCTAGTTATCACTTCTGATTAATATCAAAATGAAAATATTGCCTTTATTTTCTTCTAATTTAAGATCAAATTGTGGGACGCGTTTTGTCCCATGTCTCGAGAAACAGAGCTTGCCCGTTTTAAGCTGCAATGCAGGCATTTTTAAAACGCATTACCAACAAATCAATCTGAAGGTGAGGGAACCGTTGGATGATTCGGGTGTGTGTTGAAGGGACAAACACAATCTGTTTCCTCCACAAATAGAGATGAATTCAGTTCTGCCTCCTTCCACTCCATCAGCCATGCCTGACCAGGTCTGCCCAGTGTCTCTCGCTCTGCGAACAGCCATAACCATTAATCCCAGACACCCTATTTATACTGCCTAATTGTGATGAGTATGAATTATCAATTATAGTGAGTACCTAATTGCCCTTCATAAAGTCAGCCTCCCCTGGCTTTAAAGAGGGCTGTTTAAATGTTACTAATAGCTCTCTTCTTTACATGGAGAATATATCTTCATTTTTGAGCTCGCTGAGCATGAGAGTCGCTCGTAATTTAAAGGGGCAATTGAGGAAAGGCGTGCAGGTGGTTCCAGGGGGACTCGTTAAGATTTAATGAATTATGATGCGACCTTCTGCGAACAATGAGCAATCAATGCGAGCGCTGAGTGACAGAACATCACATCGACTGCGGCCCATAACCTTAAACCGTGTGTAATTCTTTCTTTTACACTCTACATTAGCAGTGCACTAACCCAAGTGTCCATTGACAGAAGACTCTGTGATTACGCTGCCGTCCTGAAGGCATCCTGTCTCTCTGTGTAGCATCTGGGGTTACTCTCGATCTCAGCCAATGAAGTCTGGCGTCTCCGCATACATTTAGTGTGTGCATCTCTAAACACCTGACACACAACATAGATGTGAGTGCATTTCCACTGTGACAGCTGCCAATAGAAGTATACACTGCTCACAGAGTCCTATCATTTCTACTGACATTGAAAGACCATGAAAGAGATGGCGGAAGGCAGAGGAAAATTCTGGTTTTCGGATTAGATTTTCTCTTACCCACCATCTCATAATTAGGGAATTACGTTTTAAGGAAGATTATTTTATTTGATGGCTATTTTTTAGTTATTTCGCATTTTATGTTGCAAATTATTTATCATTTTATATTATTTTCCATCAGTCTCGATGCAGTTGTTTGGCAATGTATTCTATTATTCTATTCTATTTTATTCTATTCTATTCTATTCTGTTTTTTTTTCTATTATATTTTGTGCTATTCTATTCTATTCTATTCTTTTCATTACTAGTGTCAAACTTCCATTCACCACTTTTTCCAAACATGTTTTTATTGACAATTTTAAGAACATGCATTTCCTATTCTATTCTATTCTATTCTATTCTATTCTATTCTATTCTATTCTGTTCTATTCTATTCATCACTGGTGTCAAACTTCCATTTTACCACTTTTTCCAAACATGTTTTTATTGACAATTTTAAGAACATGCATTTCCTATTCTATTCTATTCTATTCTATTCTATTCTATTCTATTCTATTCTGTTCTATTCTATTCATCACTGGTGTCAAACTTCCATTTTACCACTTTTTCCAAACATGTTTTTATTGACAATTTTAAAAGAACATGCATCTCTATTCTATTCTATTCTATTCTATTCATCACTGGTGTCAAACTTCCATTCACCACTTTTTCCAAACATGTTTTTATTGACAATTTTAAGAACATGCTATTCCCTGTTTGTTTCTTTCACAAACAGATGCCAAATCAATTCAGCTTGGGTTAAGTTAAGATGCAAGGTAATTTATTTAGGTTTTATTTATTTTATTTCAGTTTTATTCATTTTATTTAGGTTTTATTTATATAAGGAATTGTATTTTTATACAATGCCTTTTTAAAGTCATTTTCCACCAGGCTTGGTTTGGAAGTCAAATCTCTATTCTATTCTATTCTATTCTATTCTATTCTATTCTATTCTATTCTATTCTATTCTATTCTATTCTAGTCTAGTCTAGTCTAGTCTATTATAATCTATTCAGCATCGGTGTCAAACTTTTTCTTCCCTCCACCAATTTTTCTGAACACCACTTGTGTTTTTATTGACAATTTGAAAATGATTTTCTCGGTTTCTTTCTTCACAAAGACCAATTCAAATCAGCTTAGGTTAAGATTCAAGGTATTTTATTATTTTTTTTAATTTTTTTTAAATATTTAGATTTAAACAATGTAATTCTATGTAATTTTTCTACAGGTGTCAAAACTTTTCCATTCACCACTTGTGTTTTTATTGACAATTTTAAGAAAATCAATTTTCTCCGTTTGTTTCTTTCACAAACAGAGACCAATTCAATTCAGCTTAAGGTTCAAGGTATTTTATTTGGTTTTATTATTTTTCACAAGGCCTGGTTTGGCAGCCAAAACTGTATTCTATTCTCTATTCTATTTTATTCTATTCTGTTCTATTCTTTTCAGAACCGGTGTCAAACTATTTTTTCCTTTCACCACTTTTCTTGACTATTTTAGACAATTATTTTCTCTGTTAGTTTCTTTCACAAACAGAGACCAATTCAATTCAGCTTAGGTTAAGATTCAAGGTAAATTATTACCAGTTTTATTTATTCAAGGAAGAATTTCATTTTTAACCATAATGTCATTGGATGTTTTTTTCCACCTGCCCTGGTTTGGAAATCAAATCTGTATTCTATTCTATTCTATTCTATTCTATTCTATTCTATTCTATTCTATTCTATTTTATTCTATTCTATTCTATTCAGAACCGGTGTCAAACTTTTTTTTTCTTTTGACAATTTTAAGAAACATCGAATTATAATCCATAGCTGGATTCTCTGTAGTTGTCTCCGTTGTGTGATAGCTGTACTGTTAACATGTTTAAAGTCTGTTGAGTGAACTGACCTTTACCTCAGAGAAAGAGTGTGTTTTGTAAAAAGGGGGCCAATGTCCATGAATGTGTGACAGTGTCCCCTGGTGTAATTGCCCTCTTTTGCTATGATCCAGGCCCTTAACAAATCACCCAGCCACTTTCCACATCTGCTGTATGTCAGCATCTGCCAGACGCGCTCACCCGTCCCGGACGCTGCCAGCAAGCCTTCATTACGCCTGCTGCTGAACAGGTAGAATTACCAAACTACCGACCTTGTGTTCGCCTAGATGTCCTAAAACATCGCTCTCACATAATACCCAAAAGTTTGGGTCTAATTATTTCTGTCCATTGTGTTTTTGACACATGCACAGTAATTGCCTTCCAGTTCATTTGTGTTCTTGTGTTTTATAGGATTCAAAGGCGTTCTTTAAGATAATTGTGAGCACTGTTTAACAAGTTGTGCAATTTATTGTTAGACACATTTGAACAATTTTGCAAATTGAATGCGTTTTAAATTGCATGCAGTTAGTGCTCTTTTACTGTATTCTGAAAAATAGACTAGATTTCTATTTTCCGAAGGAATAATTATTAATAATTCATAAAGTTTTAGATTAGATCAAGTTTAAGGCTTTGGTTCTCTATAAATGAAATGCCTACACAAGAATCAGACAGCTAGTTCAGTATAACAATGATCAGAATAATCACAATTATCTGCAAATATTAAGATGACTCACTCACCGTCAGCTAATATTTTTTTTTAATTTCAGATTTACTAAAAATAATCATTTACAAAACCAAAATAGCACATTTAAGGGGTTTTTTTTATGGAAAATCTACAAGTGGTTTGGGATAAATGAACTAGAAATGTACCTGAACAGAACGCTCTATGGAAAATCAAAGCAATGCTACTTTAGAGCATTACTTTTCAGAAACCGATTAAACTCTTTACACCCCTCGTAAGATTTCTAAAGTCTCTTTTCCCCATTTAAAGAGGCGAATCCACAGGATTTTAGTGCCTTGAAGTTGTAATCTTCAAAAGAGTTTCCCATTCTATTGTCCATCTGCACTCTGGAGAGGATAAAGAGACAAAGTCAAACAATGAGTACATGCCCATCCGTAAAGAGAGCTCCACCTCGAGATGCGACTACATGAATGATTCGACATTTAGCAGACCTTCGTAGTGCTCTGATGAGTTTATTGGTCAGGAGGTGGGGACGTTGGAACAGTGGGGAGGTTTGTCCGTATAGTGTGCTCCTCTCCCCAAACAGTGCACCCATAGTTTGCTGCTGCTGTCCTCAATCTCTCCACCTTACCTCTTTATCTCCAGTACCTGAGTCTGTGTTGTGCCCTCTGGGCCACACTTTTGTGCTTCGGTCCTGTGTAAACAGATGTGCACAGTGTCAGACCTACAGAGAGGAAGTTGTAAACTTGCAGGAAAGACTTCAGCCTCCTTTCTTATGGAGCTCAGTCAGTGCAAGCCACTGGGCTTAGACATGCTAATGCAAGCAAACAGTCCCAGTTCGGACATTGATCGTCTGAAGTTTGACCATGTTACAACCACTAAATATATATACACTGCAGGCTGCCAGCAAACAAGCAGAAATGCACTGAATGGCAGCAGGGGAGGTGGAGTCGCTCTGTTTCATAAAGGAGAGGAGAGAAATACACATCTGTGATCTGAAGTGTGCACAAGGTTTAGAAATGTGTGTTTGTGGTTTTCTGCAAATCTTGTCTTTTTGATCTACAGTGAGTACTTGCACATTTAAAGCTGCTTTGAATATCTGTAACTTGTGGAGATTGGCATTTTTGTCATTATCTTTTTTGGACGTATGGAGTTAGTTCACCTCAGATTCACACGGTTAATCTTCATCTTCCATTGAATTTGGGTGGATATTTTGTTATCTAAAGCAGTGACATTAGAAAGAGTTAGTTCAACCAAAATGGAAAATTCTGTCATTTACTTACTTTTTATTAACCTGAATGACTTTCTTTCTTCTGTGGAACACAAAATGAGATATTTTGAATAATTGTGTGGTCCAAACAAGATTTAACTCTGTTGACTTTCATTGTTTGAACAAGAAAAACACTTTGGCCGTTTTTCAAAATGCCTTCTTTTGATGGCAGACTTGTCATTTTTATGTTAATGATCCCTTTAAATTTCTCAGGCTTTCATATATTGTATAGAATCAGTAGCTTTATTTTTATGTATGTATTTTGGGGAACTGAATAAGAGAAGTAGCTATAAATCACTAGAAGTAACAGTAGCGCCTCATTTGTCAGTGCCGGGCACACATTTATTGATCTATCTCAAGCTTTGGCAGATTGATGCCACGTAGTGAACGTTAAGATACCGAATGGCGTAAGCTATTGACTCCATGAAATAAGCCAACACATTGCACTGACCCCCATAATACATAATCATCAATTTGCCAGAAAACAATTATTTGACAGCAATATTGGCAGTTTTATCTCTTTATCTCTGATAAATACATTTATACATCTCACCCAAGAACAAATAATGTTCTTGTAGGCAGTGCAGACGAACATTGAAGAGTGTATGGCTGTAAGGTTTAGATCATGCAACAGTTTCTTGAGTTATGCCACTTGTCATCCTAGGAACTTGTCATTGTATTGATTGAAATGAGCGCAGGTTTAAGTACTGAATGCTCTCAGCCAATCGAAAGGGATCCCGTTAAACGCCCGTGTTCACGCGTCTCCTCTAATGGACCTGTTAAAGAGCTCGAGCACACCTTCATCCACTGACATCCGATCCGACGAGAAGCTGCCTGAGAATACACGTAAGAGGTCAGAAAGACTACTGGAACTGCAAAATGCTTGAATATCAGGAGTCCGGGATGAAAACAACATCAGGTCATCGGATTTCCTTTTCGATTATTGACATATTGGATCCCAAAAAGTTTACAAGTAAAAGGACAGTATCAGAGGAAGAGCGGACATCATCTTCAGGAAATACAGAATTTGGAAGTTTGGAGGAACAGCGCAATGGGAAAGGATCGCTTTCCATCTGCAATAATATTGGTGAGAATGAAATACGATTCATAAAAAAAATCAGAGTGAGAATTATTAGGTGACTTTTAAGCGGGTTAACTTTTGATTTTAAAAAAAATCTGCTTTTTTGGCCGCAATTAATTGAGCTTCAGCTCGCATTTCAAACAAAACACTTAGGCTATAGTATGTTATGTGTATGCTATAATTATTACGTGATACAGGCAAAGATTGATCGACGTGTGTTCGCGTAGGCTACTCTGGCTAATCCAACTTTTACCAAAACATTGTTCTGAAACGCTGTTGAAACGCAACTTATAACCTAAGAACGTTCCCGTTCCCGAATGGTCCCATGACGTTATTTATTTATTTATTTATTTATTTTTTGGGGGAACCACCAGACAAGATCGTTAGGAACGTTCCATGTCGGTTATTTTTAGGTTCCATTTTTATAACGAACCTAAATTTGTTTGCTGAGAGGCTACCTATGTTTAAAAACAAAAAAACAAAACCTAATATAGTTTTTGAGACAATAACAACCTCTTTGGGCCACCATCCATAGCTATTTGTGAATGAAACAAACAAACAAACAAATTCTTATTATTTTGTCAAATAGGCTTACGCCTAGAGTTGTATGAATTATTTTCACATAGGCTAGGCTATATAGTAAAAAAAAAAAATGGTTATACATGACGTTTTTCCACTGTAGATATCCTCCATAGATCTTTTGTGTAATGTAGGTAGCCTATCATGGTAGAATTTGACCTTCCCCTCATTTCCAAGACCGCGTTTTCTTTAAGCAGCCGCAGCTGAGTAAGTGATTGCCATTGGGACAGTCAGGGCAGATAATTGTTTAAATCGTCCCATTGAGGATGCCTGCGCTCACTTTGATCGATATCCCATTACTGGATGCTGCATATCTCCCTCCAGCAGCTTGCGGCTCCAAACTTCAAACCCCTGCCATGTCTGATCCCAAATATCGTTCGATTAAAACTTCCCTTTAAATAGATGACATTTATTGATCTGCAGACAAATATGAAACTCCATTAGCGCGTCATGGCTGGATGGCAGAGCTGGATTTAACTAGGGTTTCTTTCCGCAACATGACATTTGAGGCGATTTGTGATTTAGAAATTGTTGGGGGATTATGGTCATTCCACGCCAGTCTTTCCTGGAAATCAACACAGTTACAGCCTCCCCCTCCTTTTACAGCGCTCCTCATTCATTCCTTTAATATTCAGCTCATTATAGCTGTCAGTTACCCAATAATTTCTTCAGCTCATTACAAGCAGAATATTTATTTTGATAGTTCATTTCTTATCTTGGTACTGTTATTTTTTTAATTTTATGTTTTAATGTAGGGCCTATAAACTGTTCATTTTTGACCGCATTCAAAATATAGGCTGTTATAACATCCGTTGAATTATCTGTATTCTATATTTTTGTCTGTACTTAAAGGCCTTACATTAAGCTAATTGGAAATTATGATTAATATTATTAGCCCAATTCAAAACAATAATTCATTTAGCCTAAAAAAGCTTAATCTTTTTATTCATAGCCTAATGCATTTTCACCCATACAGGCACTGTATAGAGCGCCTCAGATTTATAATTTTACCCTTAAGCTCATTAATGCCAGCCAAAATACCCTAGCAGCACTCTTCTGTCTAACTTTAAAGGGTTAGTTCACCCAAAAATGAAAATTATTTAATAATTTTAATTTACTAACCCAGTAATAATGAGTAAATGAGATTTTGAAGCCCAAAAAAGTGCGTCCATCCATCTATCATAAAAGTAATTCTTACGGCTCCAGTGGGTTAATAAAGGCCTTCTGAAGCAAAGAAAAAATGTCCATATTTATAACTTTATAAACTACTGGCTTTCGGTAATGACCGTACACGAATCGAGCTCTGGCGGAAAAATGACCTCTGACCTTACGCATGATGTTTTGATGAAGGCAGAATTGCAGAGGATAGAGCAAAACAAAGGCCATGTCCACACAGACACGGGTATTTTTATAACCGGAGTTTTTCCCTCCTGCGTTTTAAAAAAAACCTCCGTCCACATGAAAACGCAAAAACAAGCTATCAAGCACTGTCAAGAGCTTGCAACACCAGCAGGCGGTGATATAAACCTAACCGTAAAGCCACGTTAGCCAATCACAAGCCGTCAGCGGTGCAAAAACTCCGGTTTCACTGTCTACATGACAACACTGCAACCGGCGTTTCAGAAAATACTCACCCCTGGTATTGGTTTTCAAAAATGTTCGGTTTCAGTGTACTGATACTGCGTTTCCGTGTGGCCGAGCGGCCGATCCGCATAAAAAAATCACGGTTATAAAAATACCCGTGTCCGTGTGGACATGGCCAAATGTCAGAAGAGCTTGAGTTTGTTGCCCTATTTGGTCTATCCAACCCGATCTCACAAGAATTCGTACGAATTTTACGAGGTGGCTAATTCGTAACAATTCGTACAACCTCACTCATACAAATTATGTTTTTGCTAAATCGTACATATTTTACGAATTGGCCAATTCGTATGAATTCGTACGAATGACCTACCCCTGACCCCGCCCCTAAACCTACCCATCACGAGGGTTTGGACAAATCGTACGAATGAGGTCGTATGAATTAGTGCGAATTAGCCACTTTTTAATCACTCGTACGAATTGGTCGTGAGATAGTGTAGGTCTATCTCACCTATGCTTACGATAGTCTTACGTCATACGTTGGTTGGGTCACCACGGCCATCATCGGAAGCTAGTGATCATAGTTTATAAACTTATTAATATGAATATTTTCTTTAAAAAAACACATCGCTCTGCTTCAGAAGGCCTTTATTAATCCAATGGAGTCAAATGGATAACCTTTATGGTGGATGGATGCACTTTTTTGGACTTCGAAATATCAGCTTCATTCCCATTTTCAAAGCTTGAAAGAGACAGGATATTGTTTATATAGGCTAACTTTGTGTTTGGCTGTAAAGAAAGTCATATGACTTGAGGGTGAGTCAATTACGAGATTTTCATTTTTGCGTGAACTATCCCTTTAAGGCCTGTGATCAATTTCAAGCTTTTAAAATGGATTTAAACTTTCATATAAGGCAAGGGGTCAAATGTGATTATTATTATTGATAATAGGCTACTTAAAATAGATAAATTAATTTCCATTCTTGTCTGGGGTTCGTGTTCGGTTTTACTAAAATGTAAGGCCTTTACAAAATACATAACCTATACCAGAAAGACACTTGACATATGGATTTTTTTTAGCAGGAGATCAATCAGCTGATGACCATCAAAGCTGCGTCAGATTGCATCCTCCTGATCCCGATGTTGACTTGGACTCTTCAGCCTCTCTCAGAAGCTTAAGATCGGGCTTTTCGCCTTGTGAAGATCCGGATGAAACAGGTGAGGAGAGAATCACTCCAGCGCCGGATGATGTGTCGCGTCAGCGGAGGCGTCGCTCAGATCACAGCTGCGCGAAGCCGCGGCGTGCCAGAACCGCGTTCACTTACGAACAGCTGGTGGCTTTGGAGAACAAATTCCGCGCCACGCGTTATTTATCCGTATGCGAGCGACTAAATCTCGCGCTTTCCCTGAGCCTGACTGAAACCCAAGTCAAGATTTGGTTCCAGAACCGAAGAACCAAGTGGAAGAAGCAGAACCCTGGTGCCGAGAGTTCCCTGCAACCCGGCACGAACTCTCTGCCCCACATCAGCTCGACCTGTGGGTCCACATCTTCCCTCCACCACACGTTTAGCTCCGGGAACGTGATCTTTCATTCTGGCCCGGTGCACCTGGCATCTTCCGGTGGGCTCCTGCATCCTTTTTTGCCTGATGGCTTCCTTCAGCCAGCATTCTTTCCCCAATTATGAATTTTGAAAGAAGGAATGATCATAGACTATGTGTAGCCTAAATGTGAATTTATCAAGTGGATTACTTGTTCAATTATCCTCAGCAGGACTGGATTGTTCTTGGCTTGATGTAATAATCGATTAGGCCTAACATGAATTTAGATCAGCTGTTTGCACTGATAGCTGTGAGCAGAAATATGGATAAGATGGACCAAACCGTGGGCCTCAAGAATGATAAATCTGAAAGATGCACTCTCTCAAATGCCATTGTAAGAACAGATGATCTGAGAATCTAATCATGGTCCAACCTGGCAACCACCCACTTTAAACCTTAGAGCTGAATTGTATATATGTGTATCTTCTATTATTCGTGTTAACAGTTTGATACGTCACTGTAGATTATAGCATCAAATTCTTTAAAGTCCCCTTATGGTGAAACCCAAGCTTTTAATATTGTTTATGTGTTTTTTTATATGATTAAGACCACATATTCATAAGTAAACACCATTGCATTGGAGTAATATCTCCTTAAAGGGTTAGTTCACCCAAAAATGTAAATTATGTAATTTAAGGATTAGTTCACTTTTAAAAAAATGTTTGCTGATAATTTACTCACCCCAATGTCATCCAAGATGTCCATGTCTTTCTTTCTTCAGTGGAAAAGAAATTAAGGTTTTTGATGAAAGCATTCCAGGATTTTTCTCCATATAATGGACTTCATTGGGAATCAAATGGTTCAAGGTCCAAAATACAGTTTCAGTGCAGCTTCAAAGGGCTTTAAACGACACCATACAATGAAAAAGGGTTTTATCTAGGAAGCTTCGAGTCATGACTCGAAAAAAGATTTGTTCATTTTGACGAACGACTTTGAACAGAAGAGTCACAAACGCATATCACAGAACAGAGCAAGGCGAGCATTTGAGCTTATAAAACTTAAACTTTTTTATTTGTTTTTTAAATGAGCGATCATTTCGCTAGATAAGACCCTTATTCATCGTCTGGTGTCGTTTAAAGCCCTTTGAACAGTTTGCAGTTTGCACTGAAACTCTCATTTGGACCTTGAACCGTTTGGTTCCCATTGAAGTCCATTATATGGAGAAAATCCTGGAATGTTTTCATCAAAAACCTTAATTTCTTTTCAACTAAAGAAAGAAAGACATGGATATCTTGGATGACATGGGGGTGAGTAAATTATCAGCAAAAGTTTTTTTTTTTTTTTTTTTAACGTAAACTACTCCTTTAATGACTCATGTCGTTCCAAGCCTGTAAGACCTCCGACCTCCTAAGGAACACAGTTTAAGATATTTTAGATTTAGTCGAGATCTTTCTGTCCCTCCATTTAAAATGTATGGTTTACTGTCCTTGTCCAGAAAGGTAATAAAGACATCTTCAAAGTAGTCCATGTAACATCAATGGGTTAGTTTGAATGTTTTGAAGCATCGAAAATACGTTTTGGTCCAAAAATAACAATACAATGCTGAATAACGTCGTAGTTTTTGCTATATTTGGACCAAAATGTATTTTCGATGCTTCAAAACATTCCAACTAACCCACTGATGTCACATGGACTACTTTGATGATGTCTTTATTACCTTTCTGGACAAGGACAGTATACCATACATTTTCAATGGAGGGACAGAAAGCTCTCGGACTAAATCTAAAATATCTTAAACTGTGTTCCGAAGATGAACGGAGGTCTTACGGGCTTGGGACGACATGAGGGTGAGTCGTTAAAAATGAATTTTCATTTTTGGGTGAACTAACCCTTTAAAACTGCAGTGAACAAAAGGTCATCAGGTCAACGTGTGGTCGTCAACGAGTGCATCTCTGAGCTGGTGTGAGTGAGTTGAGGCGGGGCAAATTTGCATATTCATATAACACATAACACATTATTATTAAATATGGGAAACACTTTTAAATGTAATTTTGGTGATCACAAATCAAGTGTTTTAAGTGAAACAAATATATTTACCACAGGGGGACTTATTTAAAGACATTGATGTTTATTACAATGTAGAAACATGTTGATGATGTCATCAGTAACAATAAAACCTGTAGGTCATTTGTTTGTTTGTTTTTGTATCAATCAGAAATAGACCAGGGGTTAACAGTGTATTGATCACTATGAATATATGTAATTATTTATTTTGTCTACACCAATACATAATACCAGGTTACATAAACACTAGATGGCGTCCCCTGAACACTTATAGAAGAGAGTCCATTATTTGATACATTTCTGAATTTGTTTGCTTAAATGATGGTGCATAAAATACATGACATAGTAAAATATGTATAACCCCTTGGAGATCTACATTTGATTATTAGCCCTATGCAATTCTGAAGTATGCGAACAGCACACTAATATCTTGTGTATTATTCTTAGCCTACTTGCTGCAGTATTTTGTATTTGTGTTGAAATTCAGTTGAGTGTATATTGTGTTTCCATATTTTATGTCTAGATCAATGGAGCAGCACGAATAACAGCTTTAACGTGTTTGATCAAGATCAAGAGGGCCTGGGAAATATTGATCTGAGTGGCACTGTAGGCAACTATAGCCGACATTACACAATACTATAACACAATATGACCACTAGAGGCCAGTGCTGGACCAGATCTCATTAGATTGACGTGACAGTTTTACAATGAATTTTATTAGGACTGTGCTGAATAGTCTCGCAGTTAAACACTTACAATGACAGTTTTGGCTAATTTTTCTAACAGTCTTAACATTCTCTATACTATAAGTGCAGTTGCCACATCAGAACATCAGAACTCTTGCATGTCTGCAACATGTAGTAACTCACCCAAAACATTTATTTCATGCTTCAAAACTGCGTGAGCAACACTGTTAAAAATGTTTCATGATTTTTCCAAATATTAAATTTCACAATTTTTCCTACTTTTTGTTGACACTGGCTGCTTTCTTGTCTGTATATCACACTGAGCTTACCTATTTCAATAGGTTAACATTTAATGGGAGGTCAATACTGTAGTACACAGAAAAATAGCATTTTCGTTTGTACATTATTTATTTTGTAGAAATGTGTTACATGTTCACCGTTGCTTTTTCATTTTTAGATTATTCCATATCTTCATATTGCTCTTCCACGACAAGCAACTGTGGATTTTCAGTTGACGTAACACATTTCTACAAAAATAAATGTATATTCTGCTGTATAGCTGCTACTGTTAAAGGTGCAATGTGTAACAAAGTTGAGTATCTATTAACAGAAATGCAATATGACATCCATAACTATGTTTTCAGTGGTGTATAAAGAACTTACTTAATTAACCGTAATGTTTTTATTACCTTAGAATGAGACATTAATAGCTCCATAACCGCGGGAATCCCCTTCTATGAAGGTCGCCATGTTGTGACGTCATATTCCTACCGTAGCCGAACGCGAACAAACAGCGCTACAGAACGCGTTTCATCACTACCTTGAAAGAGAAGTAGCGGAAAGCTGGAAGCTAACCTTACACTCCGTGAGTAGTGACTTTTCCCTTGTGAGTGGTGTAAAATATGTAGTTGGGATTGTTTCATGTAACTTAGTTCTCCCTCGCTGTGTTATGGGTTTGTTATGTTGGGGATAGTGCTGTTACGTTCGTGAGACAGCTGATGATTAGTATTCATGTCATTGACCGTAAAACAGTACGTTACAGGAATCACTAACCCGTCGATAGAGATTTTTACTAAAGTCTTTTATCACTAAAGTCGATCGCGAAGATTTTTCAAAATCAGAGAAAAAAAGCCTATTGTGTGTAGTAAATAGTATCTATGGGATGCGGAGATGACGTGATTGTAACAGCGCGCGCAGTTCCGACCTTTGGACTCATGCGGACGCGTCCCAGCTCAGCCACAGTAACAGCTCATATTAGCCAGCTAAACTATTACTACCCTGTTAGAAAAAATATATAGCTGCTCCCTCGCTGTATTATGGGTTTGCTACAGTATGTGGGGATAAATGTGCTGCTGGTTACGTTTGTGAGACAATCAGCTGATTAATATTATTTTATTAAATTATATATTAAAACCCTTGATCCTCACCTGACTATGGCTTTGTAAACAGTATTCATGATGTGGTTTATAATGGACTGTGGTACAGAAACAGTGACAATGTTACACACTCTTGGCTTACTCTGGCTATTCTCTGCTGTCTCAGCCGACGAGATGTTTGTCCCGTTTTAGCAACCGTAGCTTCTTCGAAAGGGAGGGGTGAGCAGTGGGCTGAGCCCTTAGTGCAAACCTGGTGCAAACTCGCAACCAAACCACTAGATGTCGCTAAAAATCACACATTGCTCCTTTAAAGGCTTGTGCAGTTCCTCCATGTTCAAAAATGGTAGTGATTGTGCTGGGAAGACTCCATTTTTGATTTCTATTTCATTAGAATGGCAGGCCATTTGTCAGCTTAGTAGACATTACAAACATCCCCTGTCACATATTTATGGAATATCAACGCATTCTCATACCACATGCCACCCTTTAGCGTCAATATAACACGCTTCGGTTATGGGTAAGTTTAGGTCTAGGGTAGTGTTAGGGTTAGACCACTTGGAGGTGCCTTCTGGCCCATATATATCTGCGTCTCATATTGACGCTAAAGGGTGCCATTTGCGATGTATAGGCTACGTATTGCCAAAAGTGTCAACGCATGGATCATTTTTGGATCATGTGATGGCTCATATGATAAAAGAATGAAACTTTTCACTGAGAATCATCTCAACAAGTCATGTGCATTTAGTTATTGTGCAAATAATAGAAGCACTCTTTTACAAAGGACAATTAAAGGACAATTAAATTGCTTAAAGAACAATTTCGGTATTTTACAATTAAAGCCCTGTTTTAAGATCGTTTCTGATTAAATAAAATGGTTATGTTTTTTTTTTTGTTGTTGTTGTTGTTTAGACAAATGCTGCTGTCCCAAGCATTTTCAGATTCTGTGTTCGCAACCCCACACCTCTATATGGTAGCATAGGTGCACAGGAACAATCCTTCATAAAACGCATTAAACTTTAGTTTACAAAGACGTGAAACTCACCAAGTGGTCTGGGGTGTTCACTGATATGCTCACACAAAAATCGCTGCAAAAGATGCTTTCCAACAGGCGTTTTACCATGCGTTGTAAAACTGTACACCTATTTTTCCGAACGTCTCACAACCGTACATTCTTCCATTGAGAGCTTGAATAATAGACACTCCAGCCCAGTTGGTGGCGATAATGCACCTTTGCCAATTGGCTTTATGCCCAGCTGCACTTCCTGAACTTCAGCCAGCTCCTTGTTTCCTGTCTGCCATTATTGGCCAAATTGATTAATCCAGGTGTGCCTGACCTCAGTAGTCATGGCAACAATAATCAGACACACCTGAATTAATCAATTTGGCCAATAATGGCAGACAGGAAACAAGGAGCTGGCTGAAGTTCAGGAAGTAGTGCAGCTGGGCATAAAGCCAATTGCAAGCAAACCACTTGTATAGTGTAGCCTACGATACCGCGACTGCATAACTAAAGAAAGAATACAAACAACCCCATTTCCGTTACCGGCGGCGGAGTAATACCGTAAATCACAGAACATACAATACAAGTCAATGGA